TTTGTATGCCACAAAGAGGATTGTTTTGTTGTTTAAGCTCTACCAAAAAAAGAAGTTTGCATTGACTCCATTGCTGCATCTCAGGTGGTGTTTGTGACTGCCCCCGCCCAATCACCGTTTCAGAGATCATAAAGGGTGCAGCTGGATCGTTCTAGCTGTGCTGATGCAGCATACGCAGTATAGTCTGGTTTGGTATTCTGTCCCCATCAACACACTGTTCCAGCAGCATCAGGATTACATTTAGCACCATAGAGAAGCAGGAGTGGGACGTTAAGGAGCATGAAATATAAACGATGTCCATTATGTGAGTTTTCATACATCCTAATGTTATATCTTCAGTCGTATTTATCCAGAAAATAAGATGCAAAGCACCATAGATTGGATGTAGTTACAGAACTGGTCTGTTACTGATGTGCAGTTGTTTGTGCTGATGGGAAACACTGAACCTGGCTTTGATTTTTATCCACACCAAGATGTCTGCTGTCCCTCGCCTCATTGTCTCCTCGTCTCACAGCACCAGGATTCCCAAAATATAAGCTGCTCCAGGCATCGCTCCTCTGAGCTGCTGACCAATGCCCTGTAATTGAAGCTACAGGGTGGTAATGATGAAGCAGAGCGGCTTGCTTGGAGCCAGACTGAAGACTCATCTGCTGGCACCGTCCCCAAAGTCTCCCATTGGTCTTGATCTGAAACAGCTGACGTTACTGCAGCTCGCCATGCCTTTGTCTGATTCTTGAAAGGATCCGTTGTAAACAAAGCCCAAGCTATATTTGACTATAATTTTGACCATTTTGTCATGGTTTTGTTCAGTTTTTTAATCTTTATTATGCCAAAAGCAGTTAAAAAAAATAGCACGGCCACAAAAGACAGAAAATTAATTATTGATGTAAAGTCAGTATTGTACCCTACATGAAATATTTTTACATAAAACTTTTTTGAACATTTGATGTCTAGCCTTTACCATGGATGAGAAGAATATCAGCCAGTTTAATACCAGACTTCTATAGTTTTGCACAGCTTGGCCAACAACTCCCCACAGCCACCTCTTATATAAATCTGAAACATCAATGTCAGGAACTGCCTTTTTGTTTTCAGCATGATAAAACATCACATGTTTCATTGCATGAGCTGTCATCAGCTAAAAGTACTATTTCAAAACAGCGGATTTGTTCCTTCAAACTGGTTTGTCCTAATATTTTGATGTTTTATTCAGGTGCACAGGTAGAAGCTGATGAACAGCTTCTACACTGAAGCTGTTAAAACACATACACCCCTAACCAGGATAATCACTGTAACGAAAAAAAGGAAAAAAATCTAAGTAATTCCACTTTATTTGGTGATATGTGACTTATCTGTGCTGCTGATTATCCATGCTGCTGATCTCATGCTGCTGCTGATCTCATGCTGCTGTATTCATTCATACCCATCTACTTACTACAGACTCATGTTCAGGCTGCTGTTTATTACACTGTATTTACATTATTAGTGTTTAGTGTCTTAGGTCTTTTAGCGTAATGTTTAGCGTTTGTTTAGCGTATATCTTAATGTATATCTTAGATTCTTATATACGGTTTCTTTTTATAGTTTATATTTTTGCTATTTTTGGATGTAACTGGGACCTTGAGTACACAATTTTGTTCCACCTCATGTATCACATGTGATGTGAATGACAATAAAGAAACTTGAACTTGAAGAAAACGCTAAGAAACACTGAAATGTGTAATTTTTCCATTGTTTGTTTGTAAATTATCTTTTTTTTCTCCTATAGAATCAACATGTAAATACAATGTAATGCCCTTTATTAAAGCAGTAAAGTTTGTTTACATGCATTTTTCAGCTGAACGCTGACAGATTGTAAAGTGAAAAAGCTGTATTTGCAGATTAGAAGCAGCACAGCATACCAGGGACTTGCCCTAATGATCTGGGGTTTGTTGAGTATGAACTCCTGATTACAGTTCAGTGCAGCTTTAATCAGAGCTTCCTCCTCTTTGCAGCCACAGGAACCACTGAAAACTGGCTGATATCCTTCAGCGTTCTGTGCTACTACCAGCAGCAAAATAAAAGGCTTTCCTCACTTTCCCTGCACCCCTCCCTTTGTTTTCTTCTACATAAAACATGGGAACTTTGTTGGAACTGACATGGCGCAGTTTATCAAATGCATTGTGGCTCTTAGATCAAGCATGAGTTATAAATTGGTGGCTTTGAACGGGACAGTAATCAGTTTAGCTGTTGTGAAAAACAGTGCGAGGCCATGCCAGTTGTGTCATGGTGACTGCAGAGAACTTCTGGCATCGGATCCCTGAGAATAGAAAACGATGAGAACGGTTCGGGTTGTGCCGTTTTTATTTGTTTTAGTTTAATTTCTAAAGACGTGTTTCATCACAGCTGTTCCAAAGAAGCTTTTTTGTTCCACCCCCTCCTCCCTTCTGTTTTGTTTTTGTCAACTTCACTGCATTCCTCTTGAGTCCCATAGATCAGTGATTTTTATCAGCAAGTTCTTATGCTGGAGAGCCTGAGGATCCTCAGTCAGTAGCCAGACGCTTATGTAAGAGACACAATTGGTTTGCATTAGAGTGGATTCATATGGTACTGTGAGGTTTACCTGAAACTTGCCCTGAAGCATATATGTCTATGCTCTGTCCATTGCTTCACAGCAGGAGAACCCATGGACGGCTCTATTTTTGAATAATGATAATGTGAATGAGCCTGACTCGTTATATCTGGTTCATCTGTGGGGAGAACATGGGTAGCTCTTGCGATGACCTTTTCTGGTAAAGGTTTTCCTGGCATGCACCACTCATCTGTCTACTCACTCAGGAAAAAGAAGAGGAAAATTGGACTCGATTGAAAAGAGTGAGATTGTTTAAAAAGTTGCTGAATTGGGAGCGAGTGCTGGCATTGCACACGTTGGTTTTTTTTAACTTCCATGCCACTGTGTTGGCGTCCACCATCCGTTCTGACTCAAGAGTTGGGTGGAGCCGTTTGTCTCTTGGAAGGCTTGTGAAACTTTGATGCCAGCTGGTGATGGTGGAAGGAGAAAAACTTTGTAATGTGTTCGTGAGTTCTCTGCAAGTTTCTCTAAAGACAACCAATATGAAGAAATCACTTCTCAGACCCAAAGCTGTGAAGTTGAACTTGCAGCTTGAACTTTGCAGTGGACCTGCCTGTGATCAGGAAGTGGTCAGATTTACAGGTGGACATGCTTAAATACCAGACAGACGTGTAGTTGTGGAATTCCCAACAGTAAAAGTGTCTTTGGTGATATATGAGCTGTGCAGACTTGTCCCTGGTTTTTCTGGGTGTTTATGGACGTGCACCTTATGCTTTCCTCTAGTTGACCATTAATGCTCTCCTGTGATATAAATAAGTCTTTGCACTTATTATTGTACGTTAATGCTTCAGATTTAATGTCTTTAGAAGAAGAAAGAGAGTAACTTGCATGTCTGAGTACTTCATTAGGAGCTGCTTGTGTTCACTTGGTATGTGGCGCCCTCTTCTGTCAAATCAAACTGACCAGAAAAGTCCATTTTCACTCGTCACTTGTAATAAATGTGTTATGATTTACCTTATTTCATGACAAAGAGAAGTGTGTGACAGCCTCTCACATCTCTGTGCAGCATTTAGAAGTCTCTTAAATTAAACGCAGCATGATTTTCTCATCCATCTCTGTAATTACTCTGAAACCTCTGCAGCGAGCCAATTTGTCCGCTATTAGCCGAGGTAATGAAGCATAGTTCTGTTTAGAAAAGGCAGTCTAGATTTTAAACAGTGGATGTGGGTTGCTATAATTGAGACTAATTTATCAGGAGCAGCAGGATTTAAAGAAAGAAAGGCTGGGCAATAGAAAGTCATTTCACCAAACACAATGAAAGTACAGCAGGGTATTTATTGTTTTATCTACCTAAAAGTCAAAGAGTCTTTGTAGGTTTCAGTCAAACATGATGATGTAGAAAGATGACCTCCACTGGTCTGTATGGTTCATTTACATGGTGCTCATTTAAGCAACAGATTGTTTTCCTGTTTTGATTTTGACTGAATATATATATATATATTTTTATTATTACCCACAGCTGTCATATATATATATATATATATATATATGACAGCTGTG